TATAAAGGAGATTAGACTTGGCACTCTAAGTAGAGCCCTACAAAATTTAAAAGCCCTCAAATTTTCTCCTCCGTACTTTATAAGCAGATCTGGTTGTTGGATTCTTCGTGTAATTTTTTGGTTGTCATTAGTGTTTACGTTATGACAATGGTAATTTTCTTGAAAGGAGCCTGTGTGGAAATGTACACGACCAAAAAAACATAAACTGTACTTCATCCGTGTAGAGCTCTAAAGCTTTTGATTTGATTGTATCGCCTGCGGAGTGAACATCAATTGGATATTTTGGAGCTAGAAAGAATGAATTCTTCTGTTGGACATCAATTGAACTGTTTGAATGTGTATTCTTTTATATAAAAAAAGAATGAATTGTTCAGTGTTGCCATAGTCCCTGTTCTGATAACTTGTGTTATGTTTCTGGTGTTTCTAAATTATATTTTCTTTCAGTTTGCTTCCACTCATGTTTTTGAATTTTCACAATTAATATTTTTAGATGGGACAAGAGGAGATAAGTGCCAGTGGAACATCCTACCTAAATAGGACTGAGGCAGCAAATGTAGAAAAGATTGTGACTACTTTCTTGAGGAGTGGTGTAGTCCCTAGTCAGGTACATTAGTTGTTAACTTTGGTTGTTAAAGGATGATATTCTCCCACAACTTTTTGTGATATATCTTATATCTGGATTGCTATAGATTGGTGTTATCACACCTTATGAAGGGCAAAGAGCTTACATTGTGAACTATATGTCGAGAAATGGTGCTCTCAGACAGCAACTTTACAAAGAAATTGAGGTAATGCTTAGAAAGTGTTTGTGTGGTAATGCTCAGAAAGTGTTTGTGCATGTTCTTGCTACAAGTTGCAATTTTGCTCTGTTTCTGTTATCAGGTTGCAAGCGTGGATTCATTTCAAGGAAGGGAAAAAGATTACATAATATTGTCATGTGTGAGGAGTAATGAACATCAGGTTCGTTACTGATTCAATATTTTCTGAATTTCTGGTGGAGCAACAGTGTTTCTCGATCTCTTATTTTTTTATTTTTTTATAAGAAACTATGTTCCTCGATTGAAACCTTTTTTTTTATAAGAAACTATCTTCTTCGATTGAAACCTTTTTTTTTTCTTTCTTTATAAGAAACTATGCTCCTCGATTGAAACCTTATTTCACCCTGTTCCTCTAATCCTAGCTATTCTATCCTTGACAAGCATTTTACTAGTACTGTCTTCTTAATTTGTGTGTTTAAAATTGTCCTGTAATAGGATGCTCATATACAGCGTAGTTACTTGTATGTTTATTGGAGAAGGTAATTAAATCATTACTTTAGTCTGCATCCCTTTTGACAAGTATTTACTTTCTCATTCTGCACGTGTATCCCAGAAAGCATAGGTCTACACTATAAGGCGTTTGACATTTTAGCTGCCTTGTGCATTAATTATTTTGTTTGTTATCTTTTTCATATCTTTTGTGTTCAAATGAGATAATCATTCGTGAATTGAATACCATGCCACTGATTCACTTGAAAGCATAGGTCTACACTATATGGCGTTTGACATTTTAGCTGCCTTGTGCATTAATTATTTTGTTTGTTATCTATTTCATATCTTTTGTGTTCAAATGAGGTAATCATTCGTGAATTGAATACCATACCACTGATTCACTTGAAATTTTTAAGAACTTTTTCCTTTCTAATGCCGCCCAATTATCCCAGAAAGCCTATGCCCCTATATAAGGTGTTTCCCATTTTAGCTGCCTTGTGAAATGAATTATCTTGTTTGTTATCCTCTTCGTTTCTTCTTAATCAAGTAAGTTCATCATTTGGAGTAACTGGTAAAGCCTATTCCTTTTAGGGCATTGGATTTCTTAATGATCCTCGCAGGCTCAATGTGGCTTTAACACGAGCTCGATATGGTATTGTCATTCTTGGAAACCCGAAGGTTTTGAGTAAGCAACCACTGTGGAATAGCTTATTGACACATTACAAGGTATTTTGTGCTCAACCAATATGTTTATATGGATTTTCAGTGATTTATTGGAATCTCTTGATATAATTCTGCGGTTGAGATCCTTGATTTGTTATGATATTTTTTCATCTTTCATTGCTAAGCTAATCCAGTGCTGTGTTTCTGGTTTGCTATTGATGTCTGGCAGGAACACGAGTGTTTGGTTGAGGGTCCCCTGAATAACTTGAAACAAAGTATGATTCAATTTCAGAAGCCTAAAAAGGTAACCATTGGATGAAGGAAGATTGGGGGAGGAATAGAGGGGTGGGGTGTCACTTTGAAGCTTTGGAATTGTTATTTTTCCCCCCTTTACCGATTCATTTTATGCTGCAGATATACAATGATCGGCGTCTTTTCTTTGCTGGTGGACCTGGAGTTGTGCCTAATGATAGTTTTGGACCTGTTGCCCCATCTGGCCCTAATGCTGATAGAAGAAGCAGTCGTGGTAGAGGTATTACAATTCTTATAAGTACCCAACTTTGTTTTGAAGAAAAAGTTCTTAAGGATCCATTTGTAGCTTATGGATCATTTTCTGACCATATACTTCGTAGCATTTATAGCATGTATCACCTCTGTTGATGTGTTCTCCTTGGACCTTTTATTTTATTTTTTTGACAACTCAAATCTTATACTTAATTTAGGTTCATACTTCCCTCCTCATCTGCCCAACGGTGCCCAAAAGCCTGGAGTGCATGCTTCTGGTTATCCCATGCCACGAGTTCCCCTCCCCTCATTTCATGGTGGTCCTCCACAGCCATATGCAATTCCTACTCGTGGAGCTGTACATGGACCAGTTGGTGCTGTTCCTCATGTCCCTCAACCCGGAAGTAGGGGTTTTGGGGCAGGGCGAGGAAATGCGGGTGCTCCTATTGGTAGTCAGCTTCCAAACCAGCAAGGCACACAACAAAATATTGGAAATCTTGGTTCCACTTTCAACTTCCCTGGTTTGGAGAGTCCCAATAGCCAACCGTCAGTCGGTGGTCCATTGTCTCAGCTTGGGTTTGTCAACAATGTGTGTATTCTCTCCCTCTCTCACTATCCATCCACCAGTTAATTTTGTGTCCTGAGAGTATTTTTGTTTGTTCCATAGATGCCTGTTCAGCCACCTTCTCAAACATTTCGTGATGGGTACTCCATGGGTGGAATCTCACAGGTACTTATTGATGTATGATATGTTTAGCTTTGCTATTGTTGGTACATGATTTACGTTTCTTAAGTTTTTTTTCCTTTTCCTTTTTTTTTTTATGATTACAATCAGGACTTCTTGGGTGATGACTTTAAAAGCCAGGGATCACATGTTCCATATAATGTTACTGATTTCTCCACCCAGGTACTTTATGCATGATTGCTTCATATTTTTTGATTGATTGCTTGCATTAGTGCTCAAGTTTTAGTTTAGTATATTATACATGCATGTGTATATATATATATATTTGATTTAGTTACGAATGGATGTGTTCTTTTGGTAAAGTGCATACTAAATAAAAAACAAGTGAGCAATTGATGTAATAAATTATTTGCTCTATTTTGCCGGAGTAACAAGTTAGACCATCCTGATATGTCATGCTTGGAATGTTTAGGGATAGCTTTTTTTTCTTTTTTTTTTTTGTTAATTTTAGTAGCTTGGAACCTTTTATTTCTGATTTTTTGCCGACGGTGGATGCATCCCATCAACGTTTAACACTCTCTTTTGGTTTCCTTGTAGGCCTCTCAAACTGGATATGCCATTGATTATGTTAGTCAAGGAGCACAGGGTGGCTTTCCAGGGAGCTTCCTGAACCAGAATTCTCAATCTGGATATTCCCGTTTTGGAACAGGAAACGATTTTATGTCGCAGGTTTCTACTACTCTTTTCCTCCCTTTAATTTGATGTCTAAAGTTTCTGTTGGCCTTTAATCCCCATCCATTTCACAGGACTACATGAATCACGGTTCACAAGGCTTATTCACTCAAGTTGGTTTTAGCGATCCCTCATTAGATGATGCCTCTCAGAGTCACTATAACGTGTCCAATGCAAACCCACTACAGTCTCAGGTTTCTTAAAATTTTTGGAATTTATGCACAAACTTTTTTTTGTTTTCTTGGAAAAGAAATGATAATTTTCTTATTTGATATATATATGTATATACCATACAGCAGGGCATGATGAATTCTCTCTACTCCCAGCCCTTTGCACACTACAATACACAGCCCTCGACCCTTCAGGCCCCACCGCAGCAGCCTCAGCAGGGCCAGAGCTCTCAAAATCAGAAAATTCACTTTAGTGGTTGAGAGAGTGTAGGGATTCACAGCGGTGATGGGTAGTCTTTGCATCCAGCAACTTGGTGTGTGCCATCTGTATGCAACTGTCTGCTCTGTTGGTTTCAGAAAAGGTTGCCAGTTTTGGGTCAGTATGATTATTACTCTTATCCACAACCATTGTTGGTAACATGTGATTTGGCAAATCTATTAATACTCAAGGTGGACAACAAAAAGACGAAGGGCGGGCCGTCTTTCAGCAGAACAAGGGCAGCAGCACATCCAGGGCTGAGAAAGAAAAGATAACCCATACTCCTACTCAAGGTTTTGTGTTAATGAATAAAACTACAAATGTTATTTTGTGCGAACGGAGCACTGCATGGCACGGTTTCGGTTTCGGCGGAAGGGGTTCATAATACATAGGACCGGCAACATTTTGTGTGATGTATATGTGGGGCAACTGATTCATTAAAATACAGAAGCAGCAGTCAAATGGAAAATTTTTGTACAGCAGCAGCTGGTGAAAGTTGCCTTTATCATCATCCTTTCTCCTCCCCGTGACATGTACCTGTACTCTGCTTTATCATCATTTCAAGTAGAGGATGGCTATTGACTATAGATTATAGGAAGTATTTACATATCTTTCTTTTTCTTTTGCTTTAGTGAGTGCTGCTTCTACTTCTACACAGGGATCAATGTATTTCTATTTGATATGGTATATATATCTTTGGGCTTGTTGAGAGAATTATAATGAGACACTGAGCTCTATTATGAATATGAATGCATTTGTTTTTACCTGCTAATATGGAACACAAAATTGCATTTTGCAACTTTTTTGTCTTCTCTTTTGCTCTTTCTGAGATTTGGAATTTTAAATTCTACTGAACAGATTGGATTGATAGTGTCAAAAGTTGCATTCTCCATCCGATGGTTGGAGATGGAAAATGGAAAATGAGTCTAAGATGGCATAGTCGTCTTCCTCACAAGGACGATCGAGTTGAACTGGTGTCTCGTCAATCTTGAATCCTTGATTTGTGAACTCACCAAGGCACTCGATGGTCCATGGTCGGAGCTCGGATGCTGCCCAGATTATGCTATTTTCCCCAGCGATGATCTTTAGGATCTGTGCTAGAGGGGGCATTTCCTCCTGGTCGAAGAACACATCTGACATCAATATCAGGTCAAACTCTCCCAACTCGTTGGCTTGACTCACCGATTTGTCCGAACCCCAGACGAGTTCCCTTACTTCCACCCGGTCCCCAAGTCCATTGGCATCTACATTCTGCAACAACCCAGGCAGCAACGACTCTATATCGGTAAGTACAACTCGACTGGCACCAAGAAGAGCTGCCATCAAACCAGGGAGTCCAGCCCCAGCGCCGAGCTCTATCACCGTCTTGTCTTTGAAGTCGAAGTCTAAGAGTTTGCACCGAGTTGCCATCCACTCAGCCAGGACGACCGCCGAGTTCCAGACCCAGGAACCGGTGAGCACTCTGCCAGTCGTGGAATCATAGAGGTCGTCAAGCTCATTAATTATTATGTTGCTATCAGAGACTTGGATTTCTCTAACACCCATCTTATAATGTCCTCAGCTTCTTCCTTTGCTGCTGCTGCTCCAATTTTCTTTGTGCCTTCATAGCAAAGCAATCCTTTTAAAATTTCTTCCCCTTTTTGTCATTATTGAAGAATCATATGCCGCTTCCTCTCTCTGCCTTTTTTAAGAGTATCATTTAAGGATAAAGATGCCTCAAAGTTGAAGCAAAAAGACAAGGCCAAGGCTGTGGAATTTTGCTTCCATTTGAAATATGATATATTTGATGCCTTGACTTTATTGCCTCCTTTATTCCTATGGCATATGTGCGCTCCATTATCTCTCTTTATGATTCATTTCAGCTCAAGATTTTGCTGTATTTTTGGCATAAAAAATGCTCTACTTGACTACAAACTGTGCCTCTTAAATCTCTCATTCCACAGCTCTTCCATTTTCCAAATTCTAAGGATTCCTAAGTGAGGGATGTTAGAACAAGAGAACAGCTAAAAGTGGTGGATGAGCTTCATGTCCCAACTTTATTTTTGCCTATCGTATGGTTGATTATTCAACCACTTGCAAAGTATTTAAAGTTGTTTAACTAACACCAATTTAGTGTTCTCCAAAAGGACCTCGACACCCAAGAACGTTGTCATAACGATTCCAAAATCGAAGTTTGTTCTCGTATATGGACTATTCATCTCTTAGAAGGCATTGTTAAGAGATTGATGAGAAAACTAAGTCAAATAAAAAATAATATAATGCATATATGAAATGGTAATTATTTATGTGAAATATCTCATTTATAGATAGAGATATTTGTATGTCATTGAAGTTATGTGCGAGGAGTTTCATCTTCATAAATCTTTCTTATATTAAAAGTTGATGATAGTCAATGAGTTGAAAGGAAATTTGTCTAGTGGTGATTCATATTGTGGAAATTTTCTTGATTTGAGCTTAGGAAGTATGTGATGGACAAAAACAATGTCGCTGATGAGAGATGGCTAATGAGAACTAGACAGGTGCACGCTATTATAAGTTGAGGTATCTCAAGTTGAGGAGACGTATCTTGGATAATTTACCATAATATATGACGACAATGCAATTAATCAGGTCTATATAGTGAGAAGGATACAACAATCTAAGCATTTAATAGCACTTTGATCTAAACATTTCTATGTAAGCCGCCAATAACCCAATTTAGGCACATCCCATAGTGATTATATACTCTAAAAGAAGTTTGAAGTGTGTTCATCATTTTTTACAGCACTTTCAATTGTAACTAATCAACAATAGAGCTATATAAATACATCACCTCCATTAAAATCATTTTATGAAACACAAGTGTTAAACTTCTTTTTAACAAGCATTAAATATGTCTCAAAGCTTTCAAATTGTTGTTTTGTTTTACAATTCAATAGAAAATAGTACATATTCACCATCTTCAACCACCACCATTATTATTATTATCATCAACATTATTGCCGTCATTCTTAAGGTTACAATTAATATTATTCCAAAATATAAATTTCACAAGTTATAGATTAATTTGAAAGAGTTATAGTTGTGTATGGTTTAAAAATGGTGTAAAAAATGAGTTGCTTTAAAATGGAAGAGTATGTTTTAGGTAAATTTATTTACCTTAACTTTTAATAATAAAACTTGTCCACGGTGTCCATTTTTTTATCCTCAAATAATTTACACTTTATCTTTTAGGAAGCACAAATACTTAGTTTTTTTTATCATGTTGGACACAGAGACCTCGAAGCACATGTTTGAGGTGCGAAATAGCGTGTATTTTTTTTTTAACACATGGCTGATATGCCAAAAAACAAGTGTGCCGCACTCACGACGGACTGCTAGTGATATATTGGAGGAAGGTGGGAATGACGTCACGTCCGTGACTTGATGATGCAAAGTAGAGGGGACCACTTCTATGGCATGAATCTACGATCTACAAAAGTCCACCTATCGGTACGTCTGAAGTGCTAATTTATCGTTGTATGAACTAGAAGTTGTAGTTTCTACTCATGATACCAGTGGAATTGACAAACGTGGAGATGAAGACATTATAGAAGTTGGGGATGAAGACATTATAGAAGTTTGAGATAGAGTTTCAATTTTTCTTGTAGGAAGGACTGATTTTCTTTTTTCTTTTTTAACTAAATTTGTGTGGTAATGTTTATTGGATGAAGAATTTTATACTATAGTCGCAATGAGTCACATTTTGTTTTGTACGATTAATTAATTCAAATGTATTACCACATCAATATATACACATTATTTTTTAATTATATATAAATAAAAAACCTAGGTACAATATACTTCAGAATTTTGTTAAATTGTTAAATTTGATACCAATGAAATAACATTTTGAACTCGACTAAAAAAGATAACAAATTTCCTTGACCAAAATATACACTCTCCATGCAAAATCAATGAGTACAATAAGAAATCCAAGAATGAACAAGTACTCAAGTTAACAAATAAAGAGTTCATATCACATGAAATCAAATATTTGAACAAGTATATGAATTCAAACATCTAAATTGAAAATAACAATTTTGAACATTTTATTTTTGAATTTCAAGATATTAGATGATAAAAAGCAATGTCCATGAGTATTTAGTTAGATCTTACATTAGTTCCCTTTTCAGGATATTTCCACCTGTGTAGTTTTGCTGATAATCCCCCATGATAACATTTATAGAAGAGGGGGCATAAAGAAATCAGAGCATAAAATTTGCTTGTAGAAATACACAGTTATTTTCTTTTTTTCATAATTACAGGGAGAGTAAACACGAGAGCGATAATACGAGAATCGGGGGCTCAACCGCAGTAGAAGAGCCTTTGATAAGATGAAAGAATATTACATACTATGGTTTTTACACATATAGTTGCAGGATCCAAATAGTTGTAACTTTCTGCAACTTACTGGGTAACTTTCCATCTCGGAGAAGAATGACCAAAACATGGAGAAATCATCACAAATTTTGATAGGCCGGAGAGCCAGCTCCAACTAAATTTACAGCGGTTTTCACCCGATGGATACGGCAATGCCCTAGTATTCAATCACTCGGATTCTAGATGATGACCATGCCCCGTGCGCCTGTCATAACTTCGAGTGTAGTCTCCATGGACACCCCCCTTCAAAAGCCTGCTCCAGTACATCTTCCATCCGCTTAGCAAGTAATATCTAATAAGAAGAAAAGCCAAAATCATTGGTTTTATAACAACAATAAAGATAATGGGACAGAGAATGCAATAATCTTTCAGACTACACGGAGAGAGAATATAATGATCAGGATCTGGTTGCACCACCTATTTTTCGGACTACCAACTAAGTCTAAATACTATTTTAGTCCCTACTTTTAACTTCGGTTCATTTTCGTTATTGTACTTTCTAATCATCCATTTTGGCTTTCGTACTTTTAACTTAGGTTCATTTTAATGCCCATACTTTCAAAATATTTGTTGTTTGTTTTGGTCCCTGTAATGTCAGTCCCTGTTAGCATAATTTTAACACAAATTTTATATACAATAAAAACCTTTTATAACTATATTTCAAGAAACTTAGTGAGTGAAGTGTCATGCTTAGATCGTGATGGAAAGAAATGAGATAAAAATAAAATTGAAAGAACCGAAATTGTCACTTTTTAAAAGTGCAAGGACCAAAACAAACATTTAGAAACGATAGGGATGAACAAAAGTTGAAAGTACGAGGACTAAAATAGACATTTTAAAATTATAGGGACCAAAATTAACCATAGCAAAATGAACCAAAATAGTATCTAAACCTTGTAAGCAATCTATAAAGCAACAGACCCAAACAAGAAGCTCAAGATCACCTTATAATGATTTTGAGATATTGGCTCAGAAGTGATACCAGCAAGAGGAAAAATAAATTTGTCTAAGAATTGGAATCTTAGGCAAGCCACATTTCTTCATTGCAAAATTATTGATCACATATTAGGGTTAACAAAATGCATAAGAAATCAATTTCAAATGGAACTACCTCACGCTGACATTATCCCTGCAGAGTAAAATTAGGGCAATAACTGGGCTTTTTTTTTTGTCATATGCATTTCGTTTTTGTTTGCACATCCTAATGATCAGAGCAACATCTTGCCTATGCATTGCATCTTACCTCCAGACTGGCAAGCACGGCAGAAGGAACTTCCACCAAGTCTTTCAGATTTCTCTCTGGTAGAATAACTCTCTTTATCCCATAACGATGTGCAGCTAATATCTGCAAAAGATCACTTGCATTAGTCATTAAATTCACGGACATGCCTTTATCCATTTCTTGGACATGAATACATATAAACATTCATATCCTCAAACAGAGGTCAAACTCAGGGGCTTAAAACCAAAAATTTCTCATAGAGAGTGCAAATTCAACTCAAAGTGCAACCATGACTACAAAGATGGATAACAGTTTACTCTAGACTCTAGAGGAACCCTCCACCCTCATGATAGAGTGATACACACAAAATAAGGCATGCATGCTATAGCACTCACTATTTTCTTGTAGCTTTGCCGACCTTCAAATGGATTTACTATCAATATATTGTAAACATTAATTTGCCCAAAATCTTATGCAATTAAAACTTCGTTGTTTGCAGATAAGCCAAATTCAGTTCTCTAGGATATCACAACCAGCATAAGTAAATAGAAACTTGTAGACAAGTTAATTTTAAATTTTGTGACTTCTTGTACAAGAACAAAAAAGAATCAGCAGGAAAAGAAAAATACCTATACATGTTCAGAATATGGCGGAAGAAAAATATGAGATATACCTTATCCTTGATGCCACCAACAGGTAGCACGAGACCCCTCAGAGTCATCTCTCCTGTCATTGCAGTATCAGCTCTAACTCTTTTCTGACCAAACAGTGAGACCAGAGCTGTTACAAGAGTCACACCAGCTGAAGGCCCATCCTTAGGCACTGCACCAGCAGGAAAATGTATATGAATATCACGACCATCCAAAAGATTGGTTTCACAAGCAGCTGCCAACTTGAGATCCGTTGCCCTTGCTCTTACCTGTAATTTCCAAATGATGAATGTTTTGGAAATAAATGTAAAATGTAATAAGGCTACTAAAATGTGCCTTATGAATTCATTTCAGGTGCAAATGGAAAAAATATCTGATATAATTCTCATAAAGGACTTAAGAGCATCGAT